GCCCACAAAGGCTGCGGCTCCACAAATAAAACTGTCCAAGGACGAGATTGAAGAAGCCACCGAAGTGTTTGATCTTTTCGATTTCTGGGATGGTCGTGATGGCGCCGTCGACGCTGCCAAGACCGGCGACATGTTGTACTGTCTGGGCCTCAACCCTACCATGACCACCATCATGAAGAACGGAGGTGTGGAGAAGTTCGGAGAGAAGAACTACAAACTGGAGGAGTTCCTGCCCATCTACCAGACCGTCATGCAGATCAAGGACACAGGCACCTACGCCGACTTCATGGAGGCTTTCAAGACATTCGACAGGGAGGGCCAAGGCTTCATCTCATCTGCTGAGCTGAGGCACGTTCTGACATCTCTGGGAGACAGACTGACCGACACCCAGATGGACGACATCATCAAGTGCACCGACTTGAGAGAGGATCTGGAGGGCAACGTCAAGTACGAGGACTTCATCTCCAAGGTCATGGCCGGACCTCCAACATAATCCTCATGTCAACGCCATATAATTTATTGTTCGTTTTTGGTCATATGATCTGATATTTTATCATTGAAATTGAAATTATTGTCATTATATGAAATTAGTTGTCACGCATGCGCTTTGTAGATTTAATGTGAAACTATTACGTTTGTGAGTTAATAAGTCATATGTCTTGACAGTTTATCACACAAAATTGCTCTGATTGCATTCAAATATGTCGTAATACGCTTAAGTTCAGTATCAAAGATAAATCTCTGCCACATCGAGCATTGTCATTGAATGAAATTTGTTGTCACGCAAGCCTTTTGTAGATATAATATGAGGCAATTAGTCTTCATTTCCCCGTTATTGACAGCTGGTATTACTTCTACTCAACCGTTATTAATAACATAGCTTTGTATCGTCTTAACGTCTTACTGTTAGTGCGTTGCACTTATGCCCAATAAATGCTGAACGCTAATTATGTTAATGCATCTCAGACGCTGGATATCAAATTGCTTCAGTAATAAATTTATTTGAACTTAAATTCTTGACGTAATTTTCCATCGTTATTATCTCATGAACATTCAACCCAATTCAGATACAAGGCTGTTTATCCTTATCCAACAAGGCACTTACATCTAGGAACACATGCATACACGTTCATTTCCGTTTTGTGTATATCATCTGCATTTTTAGATTATGTCGAGATTACACCAAGACCGTTTCCCTTCTTTGAACAGTATTCCAGTTATATCTTGGTGTGTCAGCTTGATGTGGGAGAAAAGCCGGAAGTGAGGGACTGCCTAAAAGTCGGGCGGGGCCGGGACGGGCCAAGGTTGTATTGGCTAATTTCTCCATTATCGGTGACCATACCTACATATTATTTATGCAACATACACACATGATATGAATGAACAACAACCAACCAACACCGTGCACCATAATTAAGTAATTCGGAGTAAATCGCTTGAAAACCCGAATGTGGAGCTGTGTGGAAGCGTCGCTGATCAAGGTAACATGTAAAAGAACAATCGTTAAACGATATAGGATTTGAAACGTATCAAATACTTCCAGCTATCGTGACACAAATTTCGATCTGTCGGCAGAACGTTTACATTTATAGGATAACACTAAGAAGATACCACTTAATAATGTGACTGATCATCGTATTAACACTGGACACGTTGGTTAAAGTAGACCTCTGCTCCCCATACTCGCAACAGTCTCACAAGTGTTCGTTCCGACTTGGCCTGGGCTGTCAAAATCAACTTTATACACACAGATGTATTATCAAATGTGTTTACATCTATAGATTAGTATAATATCTATCTATATACCACTTTATAATGTCACTGATCGCTGTATTTAAAGAAACAAGGTGCTCAAAGTAAAGCCCTTTTCCCTCTACATTCTCAACATAGTCTCTATCAGAAGTGTTTGGCTTGTGTTGGGTTCGACTTGGCCCGGGCTGTCAAAATCAACTTTAAACACACAGATGTATCACCAGGGACCACTTGCACAAAGCGATCTTAGCGCTAAGACTATTGTAAGCCTATGCTTAAGTATGGGAGTTACGATCATCTTAGCGCTAAGATCGCTTTGTGCAAGTGGGCCCAGATGTGTTCACATCTTTTGACTAGTATAATATCTACCTATATACCACTTTTATAGTATCACAGGTATTTAAAGTAAACAAGGTGCTCAAAATGAAGCCCCTTTGCCTCTTCATTCTCTATCAGAAGTGTTCGGCTTGTGTTGGGTCTATGTAGAAAGAAGAGGGAAAAGGGTTCTATAAAGTGGTATATTGGTAGATATGATACGAATGTACAGATTTGAATCCATGTCATTATACACATATGGGGTTTAAGTGGATTTTGACAGCTCGGGCCAAGTCGCGGCAAACACATGCTAAAGATATTCTCTTGAGAAAATACAGTAAAAGTGCTTTAGCGAATGAGTTTCCTTTAAATGTGGTGTACTGCATATGCATGTGTTGCTATTCTGCCAGGTGTTCTCGGGCGTCGTATGCAGACTACATGATGCGAGCGTAAAATATCTGCATTCGCCCACTCACCATCGCGCGACTCCCTTGCCCTTGCGTAACAGTATGTTTGTTTGTTTGTTGTTTTACGCCACACTCAGCAATATGACGGCGGTCTGTAGATAATCGTGTCTGGTACAGACAATCCAATAATTTGGCATCTTGAGGATAGATCCAGGCAAATGGGATACAGGACATGCATCAACCACGAGAGCGAGCCTGAGTACCCAATCCCGTTAATTGCCTCTAACGACATGCATGCGTTGCTGAAGATCTACTCTAACCCAAAATCTTCACGGGACGCCTCAATTTAAATTCAAGTCTTTAACTGACAAGCAATTTCAAGTCCGCGTCGGTTCTACCCTGTCTGATCATTTTGATCCCGATTAGGGTGTCACACAAGGCATTATTTTGTTTCGTATCAAAAAAAGGTGAGGTGAGGTGAAATGGGGTTTAACGTCGCGTCCAAGATTATTGCACTTATATAGCGACGTGCATGCACGTGCACGTGTGTGTGTGTGGCTCCTTGTACTAGTCCGGACTGATGCCGGACTGATGCCGATTTATACACTCAGACACAGTATACTGACTCCGAGCCGACAAGTCCTTGTCTTAGCCCCTCAATGCCGAGCGCCAGACAGGGTAATAACAAGTACCATCTTTTAACGTCTTTTTGGTATGACGCGGCCGGGGATCGAACCCCTCCGGAGATAGAGAATGGAGAGGGAAAAGAGCTTCACTTTGATCACCTTGTTTACTTTATAATACCGCAACCTGAGACACAATAAAGTGGTATATAGGTAGATATTATGCTAGTCTGTAGAAGTGAACACATCTGATGATACATCTGTGTGTTTAAAGTTGATTTTGACAGCCCGGGCCAAGTCGGACCCAACACAAGCCAAACACTTCCTGATAGAGGCTATGTTGAGAATGGAGAGGGAAAAGGGCTTCACTTTGAGCACCTTGTTTCCCTTAAATATTACGACCTGAGACATAATAAAGTGGTATATAGATAGATATTATACTAATCTGTAGATGTTCACACATGTGATGATACATCTGTGTGTTTAAAGTTGATTTTGACAGCCCGGGCCAAGTCGGAACGAACACTTCTGACAGAGATTTTCTTAAAAAATTACAGTAAAAGAGTTTGTCTTTGACGGATAAGTTTTCTTTCAATGTGAGGTGAGGTGAAATGGGGTTTAACGTCGCGTCCATGATTATTGCACTTATATAGCGACGTGCATGCACGTGTGTGGCTGCTTCTACTAGTCCGGACTGATGCCGATTTAAAGTGTTAGCTCACGGGGATACCATGCCGCAGTTTAACATGAATACCCCACTCAGACACAGTACACTGACTCCGAGCCGACCAGTCTTTTGTTTTAACCCCTTAATGCCGAGCGCCAGACAGGGTAACAACAAGTACCATCTTTTAACGTCTTATGGTATGACGCGGTCAGGGATCTCTCCGGGCGGACGCTCTACCACTGGACCACGGAGGCGGTCTTCAATGTAATGTACTGTGACTTTATAAATTGTAATATAAGTAGATATAATACTAGTCTATAGATGTAAACACATTTGATGATACATATGTGTGTTTAAAGTTGATTTTGACAGCCCGGGCCAAGTCGGACCCAACACAAGCCAAACACTTCTGATAGAGACTATGTTGAGAATGTAGAGGGAAAAGGGCTTCACTTTGAGCACCTTGTTTCTTTAAATACAGCGATCAGTGACATTATAAAGTGGTATATAGATAGATAGTAAACTAATCTATAGATGTAAACACATTTGATAATACATCTGTGTGTTTATAGTTGATTTTGACAGCCCAGGCCAAGTCGGTCCAAAAACTTGTGAGACTGTTGAGAGTATGGGGAGCAGAAGTCTACTTTAACCAACGTGTCCAGTGTTAATACGATGATCAGTCACATTATTAAGTGGTATCTTCTTAGTGCTATCCTATAAATGTAAACGTTCTGCCGAAATTTGTGTCACGATAGCTAGACGTATTTGATACGTTTCAAATCCTATTTCGTTTAACGATTGCTCTTTTACATGTTACCTTGATCAGCGACGCTTCCACACAGCTCCAAATTCTGGTTTTCAAGCGATTTACTCCGAATCACTTAATTATAGTACACATTTTTGGTTGGTGATTGTTCATTAATGTCATGTGTGCATGTTGCATCAATAATGGTAGTATGGTCGCCGAGAATGGAGTAATAGCCCGGCCCGACTCTCAGGCAATCCCTCACTTCAGGCTGTCCTCCCACATCAAGCTGACACACCAAGATATAACTAGAATACTGTTCAAAGCAGAGAAATGGTCTTGTTGTAATCTAAAAATGCAGATGATATACACAAAACGGAAATAAACGTGTATAGATGTAAGTGTCTTGTTGGATAAGGATAAACAGCCTTGTATTTGAATTGGGTTGAATGTTCATGAGGTAATAACGATGGGAAATTATCAACGTCAAGAATTTAAGTTCGAATAAATTTATTACTGAAGCAATTTAATATCCAGCGTCTGCGATGCATCAACATAATTAGTGTTCAGCATTAATCGGGCATGATTGCAACGCACTAAAAGTAGCACGTTTAGACGATACAAAACTATATTTATATTAATAACGGTTGAGTAGAAGTAATACCAGCTGTCAATAACGGGGAAATGAAGACTAATTGCCTCATATTAAATCTACAAAAGGCTTGCGTGACAACTAATTCCATACAATGACAATGCTCGATGTGGCAGAGATTTATCTTTGATTCTGAACTTAAACGTATTACGACATATTTGAGTGCAATCAAAGCAATTTTGTGTGATAAACTGCCAAGACATATGACTTATTAACTCACAAACGTAATAGCTTCACATTAAATCTACAAAGCGCATGCGTGACAACTAATTTCATATAATGACAATAATTTCAATTTCAATGATAAAATATCAGATCATATGACCAATTTACTAACAATAAATTATATGGCGTTGACATGAGGATTATGTTGGAGGTCCGGCCATGACCTTGGAGATGAAGTCCTCGTACTTGACGTTGCCTTCCAGATCCTCTCTCAAGTCTGTGCACTTGATGATGTCGTCCATCTGGGTGTCGGTCAGTCTGTCTCCCAGAGATGTCAGAACGTGCCTCAGCTCAGCAGATGAGATGAAGCCTTGGCCCTCCCTGTCGAATGTCTTGAAAGCCTCCATGAAGTCGGCGTAGGTGCCCGTGTCCTTGATCTGCATGACGGTCTGGTAGATGGGCAGGAACTCCTCCAGTTTGTAGTTCTTCTCTCCAAACTTCTCCACACCTCCGTTCTTCATGATGGTGGTCATGGTAGGGTTGAGGCCCAGACAGTACAACATGTCGCCGGTCTTGGCAGCGTCGACGGCGCCATCACGACCATCCCAGAAATCGAAAAGGTCAAACACTTCGGTGGCTTCTTCAATCTCGTCCTTGGACAGTTTTATTTGTGGAGCCGCAGCCTTTGTGGGCTTTGTTGGTTTCGCTGTTTTGGAGGCCTAAAAGAAATAGTTCAAAATGTTTTGCACAATTGTTATATCATATATTTGTATATGAAAAACAGAATGTATTTTCTTTTGAAATTAAAATATGCGATGCGCCAGCACCCAGGATTTTCTTCATTCTTAGAAAACAATCTTCGTGTCAAGTCTAAGTACATATTCCCAAGTGTCTCAAATAACAATGAAAACCCACAGCATCTTATGTGATTTCGAATTTCATATGTGTGCTATGACACCAAATTAAGTCACTATAGTACTTAAACGGATTCCTTCACATCGGCGTTAAGTTCAGTAGAGCGGTCATTATTTTGAAAATAGTAGGAAAATATGTGAGCTTGGTTCATGTCTGACATGTTGTAATAATATGAAAAACAGATATAGTGGACAGTGCAGTACGCGCGGTTTGTGTGTTGTATTACATACACGGACTTTGTCAAATTAAACACTGGAAATTATACGTTTTTTCTGGAAAGTTTACACATTCTACATTCTAAGTCTAATCAATTTTTGTACATGAATAGAATCAAGCACTGTTGGGGTTGAGTCCCGTCCAGGATTTGAACCCACGCTGTCAGAGTGAGACACCTAATCGCCAGCAAACAAAGTCAGCAATCTGACCCACTCAGCAACCGAGGCTTCCACAAAATAAAAGTCCGACAACTGGTAGCCTAGATCACGTACCTTGTGTACCGTCTATGTAAGTGTATATTGGCAAGGCTCCCATGGCCGAAAGTTATGAACACACAATGCCATTTAGAAAGTGGTCAACAGTAACAAATGTTATATTTGAGATAACACTTTCTCTGTAAAAGCAACCCCAAAAGTATGAGAATCTGTACTTTACTGAGAGAATGGGATCCTTAATATAACATTTTTTACATTTGACCACTTTCTAAATGGCATTGTGTATTCATGGAAAGAATCGTAAAATATTTATTACCATGCTGACATAAACTGGAAATCCATGTGTTCCAATGCCAACAGAAAATAGTTTGGTTTCTCTACACATTACTGGACTCCTATTAAACATCCATGTCAGGACGAGTCAAGTTTAGTACATATACTATCATGAAAAGTATACTGCTAACTCAATTAGCACAGACATCTCTGGCGCGTCATGGCTAGTTGATATACGAACCATATTGAACCATAAAATAGCCGATGCCCTGTGTGGACCTGTTGATCAGCTTGTTTGGACCAGAGGCAACCATGACTATCCCGAGTGATATAATATGATGACATCATCGTCATGTATCTTTAACCAGCACTGACCGCCTCCGTGGTCTAATGGTAGAGCGTCCGCCCGGAGAGCGGAAGGTCCGGGGTTCGATCCCCAGCCGCGTCATACCAAAAGACGTAAAAAGATGGTACTTGTTGTTACCCTGTCCGGCGCTCGGCATTAAGGGGCTAAACAAGGACTGGTCGGCTCGGAGTCAGTATACTGTGTATGAGTGGGGTATTCATGTTAAACTGCGGCATGGTAACTCAGTGTGCTAGCACTATAAATCGGCATCAGTCCGGAGTAGTACAAGCAGCCACACACACACACACATACACACACACACACACACACACGTGCATGCACGTCGCAATAATCTTGGACGCGACGTTAAACCCCAAAACACCTCACCTTTAACCAGCACTGATGACGTTAAGTACCTGTTCCACAGGTACCCCGATTAATGTTTGAAAATGAGTAAACTACGGTGATAACGAACTCAAAGGGACCACTGATTTTAGTTCGTAATAACCTTAGTTCGTTATAAGCGTATATAATCATATATACAACAAATGGCCGGGATTAAAAAATAAGTTCGTTATATCGGTCAGTTCGTTATAAGCGTGTTCGTTATAAATGTAGTTTACCGTAGATTTGTGAACGTTTCCTGGATACCCAAGTCCCACATGTCTCTTCAAGCAAGATGTACTTTGGATTGAAGAGAATGCACAAAAAAATGCTGAACAGTATTGTTTTCATGATGTTTACCGATACTCTCGATTGTGTAGGCACAATGTTAACATATATATTTCATGTAGTGCCTTACCGTTGCCTGTCTCTAAATATCAACATTATCATATTGACTGTCAAAACAATAAGCGGTTGTTGATTATCACAATAATTATCACTTTAATTTGTAACATAAAAGAATAATAAAAGTATATGTGAAAATATGCAAGACTTACCATGCTGCTTGTCTGTGAGCTGCTTCTGTCTGACTGGTGAATGTAGGTGTAGTGACTGTTCCTGCACGCGTCTGTATATATACCTACCTTGACCGTAGCGCGCACGAGGGGTGCCCAGGTGGTAGCAAGTATCTCAGCTGTTCTTACCTAATCCGTTCATTAATTGAGGATACAGTAATTACACACATTATATCATTATGCATGTGCAGGGGCATGCACGGTCGGGGTCTCTGTGGCCTTGATATATAGATCGGGGGAGGGGTGATCATGAGAGGAGGTGGGGTTGGTGTATGTAGGTAGGTATGGGGGGAGGGGGGTGGGGATTAGTGTATGTGGAAATGAATAGGGTCAGTAAATCGATGTTGTGAGAAGTTCGCATTGATTTAACATTTTTCTGGTTTATAAACAGTACTACGTTGGACATTTGTTAACCTCGCTCGGGCTTCTATATAGTGAAGACACAAGTTTGACTGAATAGTACCATTCTTAATAATAGAGAATAAGGAAACAAGGACATAGAAAAGAAATTCACAGCTGATGAATATGCCTCGTGGCTAAAACAAACATTAATCTATTGCATAACGTAATATCACCCCGTACAAGATCCAATATCTTGCAATTAGTTAGAGCTCACTTTGGCTTCCTCTTACATCGTATTGATGGATTTGTTGAGTTACACAAAACAGCGAGATTAGTTTGCATGTCTATCCTAAGTAGAAGAGTTATAGAAAGTTGGTAACTATTATCGAATGCGTTGATATAATAACAAGCCCGTGTTCTAGCCTGTGACATATTATGTGTATCACAGTCCTTGATCTAACCTGCGACATATTATGTGTATCACAGCCCGTGTTCTAGCCTGTGACATATCATGTGTATAACAGTCCTTGATCTAGCCTGTGACATATTATGTGTATCACAGTCCTTGATCTAGCCTGTGACATATTATGTGTATTACAGTCCTTGATCTAGCCTGCCACATATTATGTGTATCACAGCCCGTGTTCTAGCCTGTGACATATTATGTGTATTACAGTCCTTGATCTAGCCTGCCACATATTATGTGTATCACAGCCCGTGTTCTAGCCTGTGACATATTATGTGTATTACAGTCCTTGATCTAGCCTGCCTTATATTATGTGTATCACAGCCCGTGTTCTAGCCTGCCACATATTATGTGTATTACAGTCCTTGATCTAGCCTGTGACATATTATGTGTATCACAGCCCGTGTTCTAGCCTGTGACATATTATGTGTATTACAGTCCTTGATCTAGCCTGCCTTATATTATGTGTATCACAGCCCGTGTTCTAGCCTGCCACATATTATGTGTATTACAGTCCTTGATCTAGCCTGCGACATATTATGTGTATTACAGTCCTTAATCTGTCCTGCGATATATTATGTGTATTGCAGTCCTTAATCTAGACTGCGATATATTATGTGTATTGCAGTCCTTGATTGGGCCTGCGATATATTATGTGTATCACAGTCCTTAATCTGTCCTGCGATATATTATGTGTATCACAGTCCTTAATCTGTCCTGCGATATATTATGTGTATCACAGTCCTTAATCTGTCCTGCGATATATTATGTGTATTACAGTCCTTGATCTAGCCTGCGATATATTATGTGTATTACAGTCCTTAATCTGTCCTGCGATATATTATGTGTATTACAGTCCTTAATCTGTCCTGCGATATATTATGTGTATTGCAGTCCTTAATCTGTCCTGCGATATATTATGTGTATTGCAGTCCTTGATTGGGCCTGCGATATATTATGTGTATCACAGTCCTTAATCTGTCCTGCGATATATTATGTGTATCACAGTCCTTAATCTGTCCTGCGATATATTATGTGTATCACAGTCCTTAATCTGTCCTGCGATATATTATGTGTATTACAGTCCTTGATCTAGCCTGCGATAAATTATGTGTATTACAGTCCTTAATCTGTCCTGCGATATATTATGTGTATTACAGTCCTTAATCTAGCCTGCGATATATTATGTGTATTACAGTCCTTAATCTGTTCTGCGATATATTATGTGTATTACAGTCCTTAATCTATTCTGCGATATATTATGTGTATTACAGTCCTTAATCTATTCTGCGATATATTATGTGTATTACAGTCCTTGATCTAGCCTGCCACATATTATGTGTATTGCAGCCCTTTATCTATTCTGCGATATATTATGCGTATTACAGTCCTTGATCTAGCCTGCAACATATTATGTGTATTACAGTCCTTGATCTAGCCTGCGATATATATTATGCGTATTACAGTCCTTGATTGGGCCTGCGATATATTATGTGTATTACAGTCCTTAATCTAACTTCCGACATATTATATTATTGCAGTCCTTAATCTATTATGTGTATTGCAGATTATTGCTGAATGCGGCGTTAAACAAAACACAAACAGGAATGAAGTCTGAGTGTTGGAGACAAGAATCTCGTGTGCGACATATTATAAGTCGTTTGTTAGCAGTAGGTGACGCGGAGCACAAAGAATTGTGTATTATCTTTTGTAACCAACCGGAGACTGGTTTTCGAACATTTTCTGTCCATTCCAAGAGTTTCTTTAATAACTGACTTTCACTTTGTGTGAGTTCATTTTAGTATGAACCTTAAAAGGGTGAGGGCCAAACTGTATGAACGTATGAGCTTTGCGACAATGCGACACTCAGTCACAATGACAGCGCGTCGTAATACATTTACATCAAGCACAAGATATCAAAATGGCCGACACGATAAACATTACAAGAGAGACTTCGAAATTTGTTTATGAACCTGTGGCGGTTTAATGTTTTAGTCATCACTGATCAATTGGCCGTTCATTTAAAGGTGATTCAGGTGTGTCAAATAGACACTAAGGTACATTCATAGATTGCTGTAGACTGTCACTGTCAGCCTAGACACGGGTCGAGTCGATACTGCCATAGTTTGGATGTGCATTTCTTCATTTTGTTCACAAGGATGGGTCGTAGCGAGGATATTCGTGAACGATCATGCTATCAAACTATCTGACGTTCCTCAGTGTATTCTCAAACACTGGGTTCAAGATTACAGAGTCTAAAGGATCAGAATGTATATAAACGTGATCGGGAATTCACAGGGCTTCCCCAGGAATGTGGAAGTAGACCATCAGTGTGTACGTCATTTCAAGAACACAGTCTCGTGAAAAACGCATGAACGTCAAGTTGTGTCGTTCATACACTTATGAACGTCAATTTCGCGGTCATGTGACTACGCTATTTTTGAAAGGGTAGTGAGTTGTTCCCCTTAGATGTAGCTGAGCAACGCAGATAAACGTATTAGCCAAACGTTCGCATCCAAATGTGGAAGAGATATGGCAATCAGTAATGGGAGAAAAGGTACAGGTGATGGCCGTGTGATGGTAATTGTTTTATTGTACGATGAACTCCCATCATAACGCCAACAGTCTACAGAAAAATGTATAGTGGAGCACAAGACTATACAGGGTTAGAGCTAAAATGGATAGAATTATCATTAAACCGCCCGCATGTTATCAGAAATGAGCGGGCCACTGTAACTTGATAATGCCCTTATATGACTTGACGACGGGCAATTATCACGCCCGTTGTTAGGTGACGTCATAGGATAGGGATAGGTGACGTCCCGTTCAAAAGTGACGTCATCTGGGTTGTTCTATGACGTTTCCATATTTCTAAAAGATGGTCAGTGACATTGGTGTCGATTGCAGTGTTTCAAAACCGATATTGTTGTTTCTTTATATTTGATAACAAATTCCATCCGTTTTAGCTATAATAACGGTAACGCTATTTTTCAAGGCATTATCATTTGCAGAAGCCCTCGGTCTTTTCAACTGCCCTCCTTCGTCGGGCAGTTGGGGCGGACGATAGCCTAGTGGTTTAAAGCGTTCGCTCGTCACGCCGAAGACGCGGGTTCGATTCCCGACATGGGTACAATGTGTGAAGCCCATTTCTGGTGTCCCCCGCCGAGATATTGCTGGAATATTGCTAAAAGCGGCGTAAAACTCACTCACTCGTCGGGCAGTTAATAGAAGACCTCGGGCTTCTGCAAATGATAATGCCCTGAAAAATAGCGTTACCGTTATAATAACTATAGTAGGCGACAAGACTATACAGTAATAACTATTTCAGCTGCAAGACATACGGAAATAATTATACTAGTCTACAAGGCTACATGACTATTTATAGTACGCTACAACGCTATACAGTGATTACCAGATTAAGCTTAAATAGTTTATGACTATGCTAGACTAAAGTTTTAGGACACTACGGGAATAATGTAAGCAGATACAACACCAAACACTACATCACTACAAGACTCTACAGTAATATTTATGTTAAGCTTCATGACTTACAGAAATAAATATAGTAGACTACAATTTAAGACACTACAGGAATAATTATAGTACGCTACAATACTCTACAGTAATAACTATATTAAGCTACAATAGTTACGGAAATAATTATGGCAGACTATAATTTTAAAACTCTACAGGAATAATTATAACAGACTACAACACGAAACACTACAACACTACAAACCTACAAGACTCTCCAGTAATAACTATATTAAGCTACAATATTTTACAGGAATATTTATAGTGGGCTACGCCACTCTATAGGAATTTCTATAGTTAGCCACAAAACTACAGACTTGAAAAATGATATGCACAGTGATTTTATCAGTAGCAAATGCTGACATTGATATAACGGTAAGAACAACCTTCTGCTTTGTAACTTACCCAAAGGTATTATTTCAGTGAAACATGAATAATCCTTAATCTACATTTGAGAATTCATTTTGACAATGCACCTGAAATTAAGTCATCTTCTTGTACATAGTTCCAACACAGACCTGTGATGTTTGATGAAGACAGAAAGTCACGTACGGTGTGTGTACGCCAATCAATGACGTAATAAATGTATGAGTGGATGAGTGTGGTTTTAAGCCGCCTTTACCAATATTCCAGCAATATGACGGCTGGAAACACCAGAATGGGCTCCGCACATTGTACCCATTTGGAGAATCGAATGTACAACCGCTTTGACCACGGGACTTTTATCAGCTTACAATTGCAAGAAACTTTAACATATTCAAAAACATAGTGGATACAATGAGTTAAAAAGGTTGATTTTGTCACCATATAGTTACAGGCAAGTCCCTGACCCAAGGTGACTTGTACAATAGGTTTGTACTGTCGGTGTCTCCCTGACCCAAGGTGACTTGTACAATAGCTTTGTACTGTCGGTGTCTCCCTGACCCAAGGTGACTTGTACAATAGGTTTGTACTGTCGGTGTCTCCCTGACCCAAGGTGACTTGTACAATAGCTTTGTACTGTCGGTGTCTCCCTGACCCAAGGTGACTTGTACAATAGGTTTGTACTGTCGGTGTCTCCCTGACCCAAGGTGACTTGTACAATAGCTTTGTACTGTCGGTGTCTCCCTGACCCAAGGTGACTTGTACAATAGCTTTGTACTGTCGGTGTCTCCCTGACGCAAGGTGACTTGTACAATAGCTTTGTACTGTCGGTGTCTCCCTGACCCAAGGTGACTTGTACAATAGCTTTGTACTGTCGGTGTCTCCCTGACCCAAGGTGACTTGTACAATAGGTTTGTACTGTCGGTGTCTCCCTGACCCAAGGTGACTTGTACAATAGGTTTGTACTGTCGGTGTCTCCCTGACGCAAGGTGACTTGTACAATAGGTTTGTACTGTCGGTGTCTCCCTGACGCAAGGTGACTTGTACAATAGGTTTGTACTGTCGATGTTCACATCTTTGAAGGCCATCAGTTTGGTCACAGATTTGCTGATGTTAACTAATTATTAAAGAAAAACCACTTTCCGAAAAAACTAAAATCAGCCCTTTTGGGGCATTTTAAACTTACCTATGCTTTAAGTGTTGTCATAAGTCCCAACAATCAAATCTACGTTCATACCGAACATGCTTGAAACGAACTGACAGATATAAAGAACTGTTATTTGGGTCGAACTAAAATTAGTGGTCCCTTTGAGTTCGTTATAACCGTAGTTTACTGTATTTCATTTGAAACATTCTCACAATGTTTCTACGCTTGTCAGCACCATATATACCCTTGTTCTTGGTTTTCACCAAGGTGGTCATTTTCTGAAGATCTGTTACTTTCGACTTTCCACCACATGAAGCAGACAAACCGTGACTGGAATACTGTTCAAAGCGGAGTCAAACCCAACTCACTCACTCTTGTACCTGTTATGTTCCAACATGTTGTTTCCACCATTATCATCAACGAAATGGCCTTCGTGTAATCTAGACATAATCTAGACACACACAAAAGGAGAAATAAACGTTTTTTTATGTCCGCCGATGTAATAACACCTTCTTGGGTAAGAAAATCAACTCAGGTTCCACTTGATTTGAGTTGACTGTACACCAAATAATAAAGGTGGGAAATGATCAACGTCGAGAGTTTGAGTTTGAATTCATTTATTATTGAAGCAATTTAATATTCAGCGTCAGAGAAGCCCATAAAACAAGAGTAGTGTTCAGCATTAATCTGGCAATGATTACAACGCACTAAACAGTACCGCGCTCAGACTATCGTAGAAGTATTACCAGCCTTCTATAACGACGAAATGAAGACTAATAGCTTCAAATTAAATCGACACGTGCGTGCGTAACATCTAATGTTTCATTTAATTAATGACAATGCTAGATGTTTTAGAAATTCATCTCTGATACTGAACGTAAATGTATTACGTTATATTTGAGCGAAAACTGTGCAATTTCGTGTGATAAAATGCCAAATCATATGACCAATTAACTATAAAACGTACAGCCAATTACATAGGGTTGACATGAGGATTATGCTGGAGGTCCGGCCATGACCTTGGAGATGAAGTCCTCGTACTTGACGTTGCCCTCCAGATCCTCTCTCAAGTCTGTGCACTTGATGATGTCGTCCATCTGGGTGTCGGTCAGTCTGTCTCCCAGAGATGTCAGAACGTGCCTCAGCTCAGCAGATGAGATGAAGCCTTGGCCCTCCCTGTCGAATGTCTTGAAAGCCTCCATGAAGTCGGCGTAGGTGCCCGTGTCCTTGATCTGCATGACGGTCTGGTAGATGGGCAGGAACTCCTCCAGTTTGTAGTTCTTCTCTCCAAACTTCTCCACACCTCCGTTCTTCATGATGGTGGTCATGGTAGGGTTGAGGCCCAGACAGTACAACATGTCGCCGGTCTTGGCAGCGTCGACGGCGCCATCACGACCATCCCAGAAATCGAAAAGGTCGAACACTTCGGTGGCTTCTTCAATCTCGTCCTTGGACAGTTTTATTTGTGGAGCCGCAGCCTTTGTGGGCTTTGTTGATTTCGCTGTTTTGGAGGCCTGAAAATATACATTAATTTGTTTTGTAGATTTACAATATTATATGAGGATGTGTTTTCAGGATGTGTTGTCTTTTCTACCTTTACACCTTTGAAAGATGTGGTATGATGTATTACAGATGCATCCAGGGTTTCCTTCATTATTAGAAAACTATCTTTGTGTACTAAGTACATATTCCCAAATGTCTCAAAACCCGCAACTTATAATGTGATTTCCACGTTGCATAACACATTTCACATGTGTAGTTTTTAACGCCATGACACCAAATTTGGTCACAAGGTAATTAAATCGGATTCCTACACATACAGGTTTTATATAGTAAAGAAGGTATTATTTTGAAAATGGTAGAAAAATATGTGAGCTAGGTGCGTGTTTGAGATATTGTAATAAAGAGAGAAATAGCTCTCGCCACTGCAGTAATCACGGCACGTGTGTGGTATTACATACACGGACTTTGCCAAGACAACACTGGCCATTATAGGTATTCTGGGATGTTTACTCATTCCACTTTCTAAGTCTTATCATTTTGTGTACATCAACAGAACCGTGAAGAATATAACTTAGTTCACAAACATGAAAATCCATAGGTTTCAATACAAGTTAACAAAGTCTGCACAGTCCTCCTTGTTCATTGATTATCAGCCTCAAGACCTATCAGCTCAGTGTACTCGTCACGATATGGCTGACATATTGCCGATGTGACGTAAGGCATTAACTCACCCACTCAGTGTAGTGCCCATACAATCATGAACAGTAAATATACAACTGAGTTAGCACAGAGAACACCAGGATGTCATGGCTAGTTCATAAACGTTTAACACATGAGAACAATAAAGATAGTCAAAGAATCAGTCCATAGCGGACCTGTTGAACGGCGTCCCCGACTGTCCATGACGTATAGTATGATGACGTGTCTTGACTCAGCACTGTCGACGTTAGTTGCCTGATTACAACGAATGTAAAAGGATGGTTGATATCGATAATTTTCTAATCTCACTATAGTTACAAACACTATATGAGCATCTTCACCGCTTTACTTTCAAGCAAGGCACCCCAATTAATGTCTGAAATAAGTTTATGAACGTTTTCTGGACCCCATACACCAATATGTAAATAAGTGTGTATTTTGGATTAAACCAAATAGTAAACATTAATATTTAACAGTACCGTCGTCATTTTGTTTAACGAAATTCTTGACTATACAGCGCTACATGTTAACTAATATTGTTCCTATAGAGCCTTGCCGTTTTCTTTCTGGACATATCAAATTTGTCCGATAAACTGCCAGTGTTGCTTGATTATTACAACTATCAGTTCAGTTTTGTAACAATAAAGAATAATAAAAGTCTACGTGAAAATATACAAGACTTACCATGCTGTTTGTCTGTGAGCTGCTTCTGTCTGACTGGAGAAAGTAGGTTTAGTGACTGTTCCTGCACGCGTCTGTATATATACCTACCTTGACCGTAGCGCGCACGAGGGGTGCCCAGGTGGTAGCAAGTTTCTCAGCTGTTCTTACCTAATCCGTTCATTAATTGAGGGTACAATAATTACACACATTATATCATTATGCATGTGCAGGGGCATGCACGGTCGGGGTCTCCGTGGTCTGGAAATATAGTTCGGGGGAGGGGGGGGGGGAGATGGGAGGGGGGAGGGGAGGTGTGGGAGGGGTCGGGTTTGACCAGATGAGCGCATGTGGCAATGAAGGGCCACTAGATGGATGTTGTGAGGAGGCTGCTTGAACATTCTTCTTGTTCAAACATAGATTTATTGGACGCATAATGTGAGAATACTTTCTGACCTACTTTGAACGACAATTTCAGTCTTTGTTTATAGGTAGATACAAACGATGACTTATACACAGCATCTGGAGCAATCTAAACACGAAAACACACAAGAACATAATAATGTTCTGACATCAGATGTCCATGTATGTGTGCCATTATTATCTGTAGATACTAGAAGAGACCATATAACAGATCTAGTATATCGTCTCTGATGCTAGCAACCGGCAATACAGAGCTCATAAAAGGGATACACACAGCTGATAAATACCGTCAAGGCTTAAACAAACATAAACCTATTGCATTATGTAATAAAATCACGTACATGATCAACTATCGTGAAATTAGGTTTCAGCATACACTTTGGCTTCGTCTTACAAAGCATATAGGGATTTGTAAGTTACAAAAAATGAAATTAGTACGCATGGAAGAGGGCTGGTGTTCAACCAGATCAGTGCATGTGGAAATAGAGAGAGCTGCTAAATGAATGTTGTGTAGAGGTCGCATTGACTTTAACTTTCTTCTTGTTTATAAAACTATGACCTTGTGGGGGCTTCTATGATGCAGACATGCCTTGTTACAACCCTTAATGCAAAAATTAATCTTAATGTAAAATATTTTTACATAAAGAGTAAGTTTTACATTAAGGCTTGTAACAAGAGTTAACCCGCAACCCTAAATGTATTTTTTACATTAAGAGTAGTTTTTACATTAAGGGTTGTAACAACGCATGTTTCACCGAATAATTTGTTAGGTTCAGAGGGAATAATGAAAGGAAACAAGGAGAAAATACACAGTTAATAAATATGGATCATGGCTGATACAAATGTAAACCTATTGCATAATGACATAAAACGCCGTACAAGATCCAATATCGTGCAATTAGTTCGAGTACACTTTGGTTTCCCCTTACCTAGAGTTTCTGGATTTGTTGAGTACCAAACAAATAATTAGTTCGCATGGTAACCTAAGTAGAAGATTTATAGAAGAATGGTAACTATTTTTAAACTGGTAGATAAAATAACAAGAAGGATCACTTACTAGACGCTTCGACAAATATTCCATTTAATATATTACAGTCCCTAATCTAGGCTGCGACATATTATGTGTATTACAGTCCTAATCTAGCCTATGATATATTGTATTTATTGCTGTCCTCAATTAAACCTGCGACATATGTATATTACAGACCTTAATCTTGCCTGCGACATATTATGTGTATTGCAGTCCTTGATCTAGCCTGTGACATATTATGTGTATTGCAGTCCTTGATCTAGCCTGTGACATATTATGTGTATTGCAGTCCTTAATCTAGCCTGTGACATATTATGTGTATTGCAGTCCTTGATCTAGCCTGCGATATATTATTTGTCGACGGTATAGTGTCGTTTGCAGTAGGTAACCAACCGAACATTGGTTTTCAACATTTTGTTTCCAAAATGTAAAACCATATTACGTAAGCTATAACCAATAATTTGGAAATTTTGCTTGCTACTCGGCGTAGGCTACAGCCTGCCACAGCCCGCTCCAGGGAGCATTAATAGAATATCCATTCCCTTTTTCCTCTAGACGTGTTAATGCACTCAATCGTAATTATGAACCAATGAGATATTCAGCAAGTGCAAACATTTTCACAATTACCTTCAGAGAATAACCGTTCATGGAAAGTATTTCTTGGCCTCGTTGTACACTGTGTGTTCTATATTATGTGCAGAAGATGAATTGAGAAACGCAGCACCTGCACTGTATAAGAATTTGTAAATAAACAACATCAGCTGTATTAAAGTAGTTAATGGTTAACTATGCGACACAATAAGAAAGATTATAGTAGGCTACAAACTATAAAGGAATGAAAATATTAGGCTAAAAGACTACACAGATGATTATAGTAGGCTACAAGGCTACATGGATGATTATAGTAGGCTACAAGGCTACATGGATAATTATAGTAGGCTATTAGGCTACATGAATGATTATAGTAGGCTACACGACTACATGGATGATTATAGTAGGCTATTAGGCTACATGAATGATTATAGTAGGCTACACGACTACATGGATGATTATAGTAGGCCACAAGGCTACATGGATGTTTATAGTAGGCTACAAGGCTACATGGATGTTTATAGTAGGCTACACGACTACATGGATGATTATAGTAGGCTATAAGGCTACATGGATGAGTATAGTAGGCTACAAGGCTACATGGAGGAGTATAGTAGGCTACACGACTACATGGATGATTATAGTAGGCTATTAGGCTACATGGATGATTATAGTAGGCTATAAGGCTACATGGAGGAGTATAGTAGGCTACAAGGCTACATGGGTGATGAAAGTAGGCTACAAGACTACATAGCTGATTATAGTAGGCTACAAAGCTACATGGAGGAGTATAGTAGGCTACACGACTACATGGATGATTATAGTAGGCTATTAGGCTACATGGATGATTATAGTAGGCTATAAGGCTACATGGATGATTATAGTAGGCTACAAGGCTACATGGGTGATGAAAGTAGGCTACAAGACTGCATAGCTAGTTATAGTAGGCTACAAAGTTACATGGATGAGTATAGTAGGCTACAAGACTACATGGATGATTATAGTAGGCTACAAGACTACATGGATGATTATAGTAGGCTACTAGATTACATGGATGATTATAGTAGCCTACAAGACTACATGGATGAGTATAGTAGGCTACACGACTACATGGATGTTATAGTAGGCTAAAAGGCTACATGGATGAGTATAGTAGGCTACACGACTACATGGATGATTATAGAAGGCTATTAGGCTACATGGATGATTATAGTAGGCTATAAGGCTACATGGATGATTATAGTAGGCTACAAGGCTACATGGGTGATGAAAGTAGGCTACAAGACTACATAGCTGATCATAGTAGGCTACAAAGCTACATGGATGAGTATAGTAGGCTACAAGACTACATGGATGATTATAGTAGGCTACAAGACTACATGGAATGATTATAGTAGGCTACTAGACTACATGTATGATTATAGTAGGCTACAAGACTATATGGATGATTATAGTATGCTACAAGACTGCATGGATGATTTTAGTACGCTACAAGGCTACATGGATGATTATAGTAGGCTACAAGACTACATAGCTGATTATAGTAGGCTACAAGACTACATGGATGAATATAGTAGGCTACAAGACTATACAGCTGATAATAGTAGGCTACAAGGCTACATGGATGATGATAGTAGGCTACAAGGCTACATGGATGATTATAGTAGGCTACAAGGCTACATGGATGATTATAGTAGGCTACAAGACTATATGGATGATTATAGTAGGCTACAAGGCTACATGGATGATTATAGTAGGCTACAAGACTATATGGATGATTATAGTAGGCTACTAGACTACATAGATGATTATAGTAGGCTACAAGACTATATGGGTGATTATAGTAGGCTACAAGATTGCATGGATGATTATAGTAGGCTACAAGACTACATGGATGATTATAGTAGGCTACAAGACTACATGGATGATTATAGTAGGCTACAAGACTATATGGATGATTATAGTAGGCTACAAGACTACATGGATGATTATAGTAGGCTACAAGACTACATGGATGATTATAGTAGGCTACAAAGCTACATGGATGAGTATAGTAGGCTACAAGACTACATGGATGCTTATAGTAGGCTACAAGGCTACATGGATGATTATAGTAGGCCACAAGGTTACATGGATGTTTATAGTAGGCTACAAGGCTACATGGATGAGTATAGCAGGCCACAAGGCTACATGGATGTTTATAGTAGGCTACACGACTACATGGATGTTATAGTAGGCTAAAAGGCTACATGGATGATTATAGTAGGCCACAAGGCTACATGGAGGAGTATAGTAGGCTACACGACTACATGGATGATTATAGTAGGCTAATAGGCTACATGGATGATTATAGTAGGCTATAAGGCTACATGGAGGAGTATAGTAGGCTACAAGGCTACATGGGTGATGAAAGTAGGCTACAAGACTACATAGCTGATCATAGTAGGCTAAAAGGCTACATGGATGATTATAGTAGGCCACAAGGCTACATGGAGGAGTATAGTAGGCTACACGACTACATGGATGATTATAGTAGGCTATAAGGCTACATGGAGGAGTATAGTAGGCTACAAGGCTAAATGGGTGATGAAAGTAGGCTACAAGACTACATAGCTGATCATAGTAGGCTACAAAGCTACATGGATGATTATAGTAGGCTACAAGACTACATGGATGATTATAGTAGGCTACAAGACTACATGGATGATTATAGTAGGCTACAAGACTATATGGATGATTATAGTAGGCTACAAGACTACATGGATGATTATAGTAGGCTACAAGACTACATGGATGATTATAGTAGGCTACAAGACTACATGGATGATTATAGTAGGCTACAAGACTATATGGATGATTATAGTAGGCTACTAGATTGCATGGATGATTATAGTAGGCTACAAGACTACATGGATGATTATAGTAGGCTACAAGACTATATTGATGATTATAGTAGGCTACAAGACTACATGGATGATTATAGTAGGCTACAAGACTACATGGATGATTATAGTAGGCTACAGGACTACATGGATGATTATAGTAGGCTACAAGACTACATGGATGATTATAGTAGGCTACAAGACTACATGGATGATTATAGTAGGTTACAAGGCTACA